TAATAATAATAATAATAATAATAATAATAATAATAATAATAATAATAATAATAATAATAATAATAATGATGATGATGGAAATACCTCTACAGCCTTGACAGTTGCACTAATTTCTTCTGCTTTGAGACTGCATATTTCCTGTACAGTTTTTTTTGGTAGATTTACAATAGTCTTCAACTTAGAACCATTTGCTTACTGATGGTTCAAAGTTACAACGGCACTTGGAAAAATGACTTATTACAGTTTTTCATACTTATGACCAATGTATCATTCTCATGGTCACGTGATCAAAATTGCTTGGCCACTGGAATATATTTATGATGGTTGTAACTATTTTCTGACCGTTTGATAAGCAATGTCAATGGAGGACACAGATTCTGTTAACCACCATGTTACTAATTTAACCACTGTAATGATTCATTTAACAGTGGTGGCAAGAAAGGTTGTAAAATGGGGCAAAATTCACTTAATAAGTATCTTGCTTAGCAGTAGAAATTTGGGGCTCAGTTGTAGTCATAAGTCGAGGACTACCTGTATTAGAATGGCTAAAGGCATGTATGTATTGGGAAAATTGAAACTAGACATCTCTTGTGAATTCAAGCTATGCAGTATATATGTATATTGAGGCATTGAAAAACCAGTGCTAACCTATTGAATCCCTGAAATATAATTAACATTTATGCCTGCAATTGATCTTGAACCCTTGAATAGTGAATTAAATATAGCATGGATTAAACTTTTGTTTGCTCCTCCCTAAAAATTGAGAGTGTCAGATTTCTAAAGTTGTCTTGGAAATGTTTGTTTGATTGTATGTGTGGTTTATCTTAATTTAATTGTATGAATTGGACTTAGTTCTCGGAATCCTCAACAATGGCCAATAAACACTCAAACATTTCATAACCATCTAAAATGGCCATTTGCATCAGTTTGGAAAAGGCCAACGTAATTATTTTGCTGATTGATGCATCACACAGTGGACAGATCCACACACTAATTCTTAATTCTGTCCTAATTCTTAATTTATAGTTTACCAATGTTAGGGTAAGGGTTAAGTCACATATCATGCTAGTTAAAAACACAACTAATAATTTTATGGTTACTATGATATGTGATTCTCTCCAATTCTGAGCAGCTTACAAAATATTATTATAAAGACCCAACAGAAATACAGAATTATATAATGAAAGGAGAAAGTCTGAAAGAAAACCCAATAGTTACTCAAAAGACAAACATATCCCTCAAAGGATCCATCACCATTCTGACCCCTGGAGATAGCCAGGTTAGATGAGGCTTTTTAAAATAAGGGCTGGGTGAGAACTGTAGAAATCCCAGAGGCACTTGTATTTACCTCACACTTGTCTTCTGTAGAAAAGCCTAATATAATACTCCGTCCTTTACCAATACTCATTATAGCCAATGATTCATGCACAGTCAGAAACATAGCCTTAGTAACTGTTTCCATCATTCTTTGTTCTCACATTAAAATACTTATATTGCAATCAGTCATCAATGTGCAGATGGGTAGAACTAAGATTTTAAAATAAAAATCCTAGGGTAAAAACTAGGATTTTAAAGTCAGCACAAGAATTGGTCTTCAATTGCATATTACATAGCTACACAAGCAAAAAAACTACATAATAAGTGTAATGTTCTGGTTCATTACAGTTGCTGTCCTTAAATCTCCACATTGCCCTCCCCCCCATTTAAAAACTCATTCCTATTCAGTTGTGGGATCTGCACAGTGAGATGGGCCAAAAGGAAACTTGGATTGTACACTTTGCAAGTCAATGGTTTATTCAGCAAATCATAACTTTAAAAAAAATGTAGCCCAGCACATATGTGAATATGGTGAATGTTTAAACAGTCTGTTCAAGTGCTATAGGCAATGTTCTAACTTAGCTTGGAACTACAATATATATTATTCTGGAAATCCAGATCTAAAAGAAAATTCAAGATGTGTGGCTGCATATATATTAGTAGTTGCAGTGACTCAGGGGAGGTTTGTAAGGACTTGGTAATTCAGGCTTCTTAAATGTTAAAGCTGAATTGATTGCTCAGGCTGAATTCCAAAGGACAAAGCAATTGCTTATCCTTTGCTTGCCTTGTTTCTTTCATCTACCTTAATATAAGCTCACTTGGTGGGTGAGAGCATATTTATGCCTAGTTAAAGTTTGATGCCAACTGTTTCGTTTGAAGGTTTCAGAAAATATTTTTGAGAATATCCCGACTTTTTTCCCCCCGTCAAGGTCATGGTGGGAATGGTTTCTTGAAATTTCAAGATTCTGAAGAAATCACGAATGTGGAACTCGCTGATGCCTTTGAACAAATGTGGCAGAAAAGGAGGTAATTTCTAACCCCCTGCTTTCTAGCGTGCCTGCATTTTTCTGCCTTTTCTGATCTACCTAGAACGTATTTACAATTTTCATTTCATTAAGTACATTTATTTGCAACCATAGGTTTTAGCAAAAATTCAGATATTGTTGCAGCAAGCTTTAATTGGTCAATTATTCCCCTCCCTACAATTAACAACACTGTCAACATCTACATTAACACTGCTCACATTTTTACCTCTTTATGACATTATGGACTATGTACCTCTAGTAGATTGTACAACTAAGCATTAAAGCCCTTTATACAAAGCAAGTCATGAACTCACTGGGCCTTTGCAATGTCCTCTGTTCAAAACTTCTATTAAAGCTGGTGTTTGTTTTTTTTAATTGGCTGGTTTGAAAATACAGGATGATCCATTGGGTCATTTGCATCACTGTTCTTTAAAGTACCACCTGGCCTCCAAAATATAAAGGTTAACTCTTAGATATTAGGGCTACGCAAATATATTGAAAGAGGTACTATGCTATGAAACTCAACTTACAAGTATGAGAGACTTCTGCAAACCTGTTCAGGGGGTGGAACGGGAATTTCATATTGAGGTTGCATGAATCAAACTATAGCAAGGTAAAAACAGGCTGTTTTTCTTTTCAAACTGTCCCAGATTCTCCCATCAGGAAACACCGTTGACTCGAAATGAACGGTCCTAATGGTTGACATAGATCTGCATTTGAAGATCTAGGAAAATATGTATGCAGATCTATATAGATAAAAAGTATATGTAATCTTGCATCAAAGGAAGTCGTAATCAAAAACCTTTGTTATTTTGGTTCTGAATGAGCAGACATATCCTTTGCAAAAAAGAAAGTCTACACAAGATTTTAGGAGGTTTATATTGAGATGGAGCTGCCTTAGTGTAAGATTTCAGGATTTTACTTTTGAATAAACACACATTGGATTGTACATTTAATCGCCAGTACTTTTTTCCTATGCAATGATGATAAAACTGGATAGTTTATAAAGATACATTATTGTCTGTTAATGGCAAAAATCCTGGATGCAAAATCTCTTTGAAGACTTATTTTAAAGTAGCATTTTGTTTACAAGGCTGTATGAAGACACCACACCTGATGGATAAAGGAAGATATGGCTTATCTCTTATATACTAGTAAGGGCTTTACTTTGTATCTGGATATTTTGTTGTGCTTGATTCTTGTAGAAGACTTAGGGACCAGCTGGCATAAACAGGCGTAAAAGATGCTTTTTTTTCTCCTCCTAGGTACAATGAATTGCTGTTTATCATCGATACATGCCAAGGAGCATCCATGTATGAACGCTTTTATTCTCCCAATATAATGGCTTTGGCTAGCAGCCAAGTTGGAGAAGATTCACTTTCTGTAAGTGTATCATTTCATATGTTAACTATATATAGATAACAGTTACCAAATGAAAATCTGTCCTAGTTTGGTGGGTATCTCGCTGTATAAGATTTAATAGGAATCTTGTTTCTACTGGAAAATACTGCATTTATAGTGGAACGAGAATTTGTTTTCAATAAATAAATAAACTAATTAATAATAGTGCTATAAAGAAAAGCAAGATTTTAAAAAAATAAAAATGAAAGTACGACCCTACTTTAGGTTATTCATGACCTTCCAGGAAGTCATGACTTTCGCAATACTTTTTTTGAGAACTTTGGTATATTTTATTGCATATTTTGGAGGGCTAAAAGCACTTCTACAGAACTGTGACACTCTCTATGAAGGATGAATTTTGAAAGATAAGAAGCCGGTAAAGGATTGCTGTTTTTCTCTTTGTTGGAATAAGTTTGGTAGATTAAAATATGGAGCTAGTGTTACAGATCTATGTAGTTCCTTCCCAGCACATTCACATACAGTATTTTGCTTGGCCTTATTTATTTGTGTTCCTTTCTGTGCCACATAGTAATTATTCATAGTTTGGGAGGTTAATCAGCTGTTGACAGATGATGTAGATATAATATTGTGTCATTCTGTTTTCATTGCTAAACATTTATATATACTAAATTCAGTATTTATAACAACATTTTCTATTTGAAGCATCAACCAGATCTTGGCATTGGTGTCCATTTGATGGATAGATACACATTTTACGTCTTGGAATTTTTAGAAGAAATTAATCCAGCAAGCCAGACAAATATGAATGATCTGGTAAATACTTATTTAACTTGTTATTCATGAAACCGCTACTGGAAAACTGTGTGTTTTGAATAATTTTACATAATCCTTTTAACATCCATTGCTGTTTTCCCCATTGTCGCTGTATTACATCAAGTTGGGAAGATAACATTTCCCCCCCTAGTTTTAAACGCCCAAAATGAGATTTGCTCAAGTTAAATTAGCCTTAAATCTAGGGCTTAAATCTACATTACCTTATTAGAAAATAATCCTCTTACAGCTTGGAATCTTAGTAGCAAAGCTGTGTTTTTCATTACAACCACTATACATTGAAGTTTGAATTGTTTCTAGACTGTTGCCTACAATGCTGTCTTTCAGTTCAATTATATTAAAAGGTTATATTATGCAAGATTCAGAACATTGTTTGGTTCCTGACTCAAGATGAAAAACGTATTAGCATTGACTGAAGTTACCGTATTTTTCGGTGTATAAGGTACACTCCCCCCCCGCCCCCCCAAAAAAAGTGGCTGGAAATGTCTGTGCGCCTTATACAGCAAATGTTGCCAAAGCCCTGCCCACCCTTTGGCCTCTGCCTCCCAGCAATTTACCTCCTTGCATCAAACAGCAAACAGGCTGGTCAGCTTCAGCACAGCCTGATTAGCACAAGCAGCTGATTGTTGGTTGGAATTGCCTCCCAATGATCAGTTGTTTCAGGCTGCAGGGATCGCCATTGCCGCCTCCCTGCGCCCCATTTTCGGTCTCCACATCCCATTTTCAGCCTCTGCGTGACCTGTTTTTGGCCTCTGTGTGCCCTCCATGTGCCATTCTGATCCTCGCCGCTCAGAACAGGTCAAAAATGGGGGCAAGCAGAAGCTGAAAACGGGGCATGCAGAGGCTGAAAATGGGGCAAGTGGAGGCGGCAATATGGCGATCCCTGCAGCCTGAAACAGCTGATTGTCAGGAGGCAATTCCAACTGGCAATCAGGTGCTTGTGCTAATCAGGCTGTGCTGAAACTGACCAGCCTGTTTGCTGTTTGCTGCAAGGAGGCAAATTGCTGGAGGCAGAGGCGGATTTTTTTTTCTTGTTTTTCTCCCCAAAAGCTAAGTGCGTCTTATACTTCGAAGCATCTTATAGTCCAAAAAGTACGGTTAATTTAAGACTTAATTGCAGAGCGTAAAAAGAAGCATAAGTGATTCATAGAGCATACATTTCACGGTGCAAATGATGTGACTGCCACGTCTAATTAAAGAATCAAGTTTGTAGTTGCTAGGAAGATTTTTGGTTGTGGCACTGGAAAGGTCCTGTTTAATAGAACAAATAATCTGATGATATGAGATAGCTCCATGGATTTGACTAGTAGAAGAGAACCAATAGATCTGCCAAAGGAAGGGATCTGGGCAGTGGTGGGATTCAAATTTTTTTTACTACTGGTTCTGTGGGCGTGGCTTGGCTTGGTGGGTGTGGCAGGAGAAGGATACTGTAAAATCTCCATTCCCACCCCACTCCAAGGGGAAGGTTACTGCAAAATACCCTTCCCTCCCCATCCAACAAAGAAGACCCAGCCAATCAGCAGGGACGTGGAAGGCAGAGAATAGATGGAGGCGAGGCCAGTCAGAGGTGATATTTGCTGGTTCTCCAAACTACTTAAAATCTCCGCTACCAGTTCTCCAGAACTGGTCAGAACCTGCTGAATACCATCTCTGAATCTGGGCATTTTATGGCCTGTGGGCAGTTCCAATCTGGCTCTTAGCAGTGTGGGGTGTTTCTGGCAGCACTGGAGGTGGAAAATCATTGGCAAGGGCTGGGGCTTCAGGGTGTGAGCGTTGGCAGGGAATTATGCAGCACAGTTCCAAGTATTCAGTGGGTGCGGTTAGGGTTAGGGTGCTATATAGCAAATCAGTCTGCATATGATGAAAAATTTCCACTGATTCCTGAGGAAAAGACAGACTCCTGGCCATTCTTCCATGTATGATCTTTTATAACAGATTTTTTTTTTAACCTAAATGGAAATTCTGCATAAACATATATCCGGGTAATATGAAGCAGAAATATTGGACATATCTATATATTCATATATTAATAGATAAGGATTAGCTTGTCTCTCAAATATTTCATATCATGTTAAGCAAAGGGTTCTGGTGCACATGCTATCCACTCCTATCCTGTTTTGCAGGTTTGAGCAATGTCCTCTTTAAATTCAATCTTGCTTAACATACTATGTCAAAAGGTATGAGTTCTGAATCTCAATCTCAAAGTATTTTTTCACATGAGAGAGCAGCTGTCTAAAATCATTTAGTATTTAAGTTTACAGGTGTGCTGTTGCAGGCTACCTTGTCACTAGAAAAGATGGCATCAGTTTTGCAGTAAGCAGCTCACATTGCCAGGCTTGACAGTGATAGAACCGAGTGAGCAACTAATGGTCAGCTGAGAAAGAAGTTTCACATTATTAAATGTGACAAAATCTGTTTTTAAAAGATATATAGGGTATAATTTTGAGATTCGTAGGTAATCATTGACTTACAACCATAATTGAGCCTGGAGTTACCTTGGTAAGCCATGGTGGTTAAGTCTGACCATGCCTGATTTTATGGCTGTTTTTGTGCCAGTGATTAGGGTATCTGACAATCATTAAATGATCGTCATTTTCCCCAAAGGGCATTTTTTTGCCAGAAATTGGAAGTAAACACTGTTTTTTGGCAAAAAAAATATATTCCAAAATTATGTTCATGTGACATTAGGATGCTGCAAACAGTTGTAAACGCGGGACTGTTGCCATGCACCCATAATGCACCCACACAACTCGACCAGGGCAAAGCAATAGACGCAATCTACATAGACTTCTGTAAAGCCTTTGATTCAGTGGTACACAACAAACTACTACTAAAAATAAAATCCTATGGTATCTCTGGACAACTGAATAACTGGATAGAAGCATTCCTGTCAAACAGAAAACAAATGGTCAAAATCGGAAGCGTCCTATCAAATCCAGTACCTGTCAATAGTGGTGTCCCCCAAGGCAGTGTTCTAGGACCAACTCTCTTCATACTCTACATAAACGACCTCTGTGATCATATTAAGAGCAATTGCGTTCTCTTCGCTGATGATGTAAAGCTGTTCAATACCACAGACAATACTGCTACCCTACAAAAAGATCTTGACTATGTATCTGAATGGTCAAACAAATGGCAACTTCAAATCTCAACAAATAAATGCTCTGTCTTACATATTGGCAAAAAAAATCAGAAAATAAAATACAAGCTGAATAGTCAAGAACTTGTTGATGACCCAAGCTCTGTAAAGGACCTTGGAATACTCACCTCTAATGATCTAAGTGCTAGAGCCCACTGCAACTACATAGCCAAAAAGGCATTAAGAGTTGTTAACCTAATCCTACGTAGCTTTTTCTCTGGTAATATCACACTACTAACCAGAGCATACAAAACATTTGCTAGACCAATACTCGAATACAGTTCATCAGTCTGGAACCCACATTACGTATCTGATATTAGCACAATTGAGAAAGTCCAGAAATATTTCACAAGAAGAGTTCTCCACTCCCCTACTCATTGTAGAATACCTTATGCCACCAGACTTGAAATTCTAGAACTAGAAAACCTTGAATTACGCCGTCTTCGGTCTGACTTAAGCATGGTATATAAAATCATACATTGCAATGTCCTACCTGTCAGTGAATACTTCAGCTTCAACCATAACAACACAAGAGCACACAATAGATACAAACTCAAAGTAAACCGCACCAAACTTGATTGCAGGAAATACGACTTCAGCAACAGAGTGGTCAATGTCTGGAATACTCTACCCGACTCTGTAGTTTCTTCCTCAAACCCCAAAACTTTAACCTTAGACTGTCTACTATTGACCTCACCCCTTTCCTAAGAGGTCTGTAGGGGGCGTGCATAAGCGCACCAACGTGCCTACCGTCCCTGCCCTATTGTTTCTCTTATTCTTTTATTTTTCTTATATGTACCCATTTCATGTATTCACAACTATGTATACACTTATACTTATTATCTTGTAAACAATTGGCAAATCAAATAAATAAATAAAATAAATAAATAATATTGTCATGTGACTACAGGAGCAGCCATTGGAACCTTAAAACTGGGTTGTAAGTAGGTCTGAGGAGGTTTGTTGCAACTTTGAATGGTCACTAAGTGAGCAGTCATAAGTTGAGGACCACCTGTATTATACTGATAAACTGGTCATTCCTTTCTGAACAAGTTTGTCTCATAAACTTTGTGTTTTCTGGAATCCATTAACTTATTAGAAACTACAGAATTAACAGATAAATAAAATGCCATCTTCGAAATATTGTGAAAATGGGCCAGTGAGTTAGAAATTACAGTGTAGAATTTCCTGATCTTATCGCAGATTTACAAGGATTTCAATGTTAACAGTTTTCAATTTAACTTTATTTTTTGATATCTAGGAAAACGTAGAATTATAACCCTGTCCACACTTCTAGATATGTGACCCCATTAAATAGTGTTGGATTCACTTCTCAATAGCAAATGTAGGATAAATAAATGGTTTTAGGATGATCAGTAGAGTTTAGCTATTGGGATTGCAAATAAGATGGGTGGTTTCTTAGACAGACAGATAGACAGACTGACTGACTGACTGACTCACACACACACACACACACACACACACACACACACTATGCCCTGTGCTTGAATATTCCATTATTGCTTTATTCTTTACACTTTTTAATTGGGTCAAAGTCATTTTTAGAAACATCTGTTCTAATTTCTAACTTGATTAGTATAGAGGCACATCGATTTTAATATGAACCAAATTATGGATTTCTAGAAAATTATTCAAGTAATTGGAATCTGTAATTTGGAGAGGAAATATTTATGTAACTCTGTAACAAGGTACCAGTGATAGAAATATGGTTTATCAGTTCTGTTAAATTAATCCTTTCATTCTAAACATGAATTTAGATTCCAATATTATTTCTATTGGGGAATTGAAAAACCACGTCACAAGTTGTATAGTGGTATTGGATGATCACTATAGGGACAAACACCTAGTTAGAAACAGAAATGCAGCAAAGGTTTTCATGAAGAGTTGAAATGAAATATCTTTTTTATAGTTTCAGGTATGCCCTAAAAGTCTGTGCGTGTCAACACCTGGACACCGGACAGATCTGTTTCCGAGAAATCCTAACAATGTCTTGATAACTGATTTTTTTGGGAGTGTACGAAAAGTGGAAATTACAACTGAGCCAGTTTCTCTGGATCCTAATTTGGCACCTGAAGAGACAAGGTATTTTGGTTTATTTTTTGAACCACAGATATTCATAAATGGAAAAAAAAAGGAATTTAAAATATATATCAATACATAAAGAGGATTGATCCATGCAGAGAAATGCCAGAATGTGTGTACAGACTGGAATGACGTTCCTACAAAAAGATTCTAGATGATGTTGAGGAAGACACTGTGTGAACATTCATTGGAAGGTTTCTTTTTGTGTGTATACTTTGGGTTTTGTACTTTGTTTCTTGGGAACTATGGGAATAGAGGAAACAATGGGGCATGCATGATTTGATAGTATATTGATTTAAGAATCCCTAAGAAAGTAAAATCAAGTATTTGAGAAGCCTCAAGGCTAATGTTTGATACTGATTTACTCATGAACACTGGAAATCTTAAAATTTATCTCTTCCCCCAAAAAGGTAATGAAGAGGATGCTAGATGCTTGTCTGTTTTGAATAAAGCATTCATAAAACATTAGTATTCAGAATACTAATACTCAGGAAGTTACATTACAATCAGAATATATGAAGAGAGAATATAAAATATGTAGTACATATAGTCCTTGACTTTCAACCAGAATTGGGACCAGAATTTCGTTGCTGAGCAAGGCAATTGTTAAACAAGTCGCAACTGATTTTACAACTTTTTTTGCGCACAGTGGTGAATCTGGCATTGTGAAGTGAATCTGGTTTCTCCCATTGACTTTGTCAGAAACCAGCTGGGAAAGTCACAAATTGCAATCACATGTCTTTTGGGTGCTGCAACTATCATAACTACATCCTGAATACCAAGGTCTTCACATGATTGTGGAGATGCTATGACAGCTTTAACTCTGAGGATTAGTTTTAAGGCACTTTTTTTCAATTCTGTGGTAACTTTGAACAGTCATTAAATGAATGGTTGCAAATCAAGGCCTACCTGTATGTAAGGCAAATATTATGCCTTTTTTGTGTGCTTCGTTTTGTTGTACTTTGTGTGTGTGTTTTTTAAACAAATTGAAGATTTGTGGCAATCTTGTGCTGAGCATATCCATTGTGGTGCTAATTTTCCAACAGCATTTGCTCACTTTCTGTCTCTGTGTCACATTTTGATAATTCAGCCTTTTTCATTATTAATCAGATGATGATTAGCATTTTTATCAATTATAATTAAGGTATGTACATTTTTAGACAGAAAGCTGTTGCAATATAACATTTATATGCACTGGGAAACAAAAAAATTCATGTGACTTGTTTTATTGCAATATTTGTTTATTGTGATAGTCTGGAATCAAAAAATATGTCTGAGATATGCCAGGATATCCAATACTTACTGGATGTAAGTATGGAGAACTGGAACAGTCATTGTGGAAATTCTATACAGTATGTGTGTTTTTTTCCCTTACAATTGGAAACAGTAAATAATTTGAGTTCCAGTTCAGAAACAGAGTTTGTGAATTCAGAATCAAAACCGCTATCTTCAGTGGAGTAAAATGAACAGATACAAGGAGTGATTATGTCAATATACTTTTATGTATAAATCAGTTTCTGGTTTTTGAGACTCAGGTTCATCTTATATAAATGGAAAAACCTGCAAGTACACAGCAGAAATTGTAAACATATATAGCACAACTAAAATATTGCCTCCTCATTTTTGATTTTTTTTTTTGTGGGTTTGGGAGAGAAATAAAAGGTAGAGAAAGGATTCATCTGAAGTAATATTTATGGAATGTATATTTTCAGGCAACAAGCTGAATTTATGTGCAGTCTTATGCTGCCATCTGTTGGAAGCTTTTGGGATTAAAAAAAACCTCTGTTTTTGTCCCATTTTATCTACAAAGTGCCACAGACTACAAAAATGTGTTGCACATAAGTTGGATCAATAAAGTTTCATACTTCATTTCTGAAGTGATTTATCTTTTTCAAAGTAATAATTAGATCTTTTACTAGATCGGGCCTTTAGTATTTGCAGTATGAAGTATTAACTTTAATCTTGTTTATAAAACAAAGATATTTATTCTATAATTTCATCATGGTTTCAAGATTTTTGTCCTCCTGATGTGACTCTGTATTAGGGGAATAATCACTCAGTGCAAGCATGTATGGGAATTTCTATCTGGATCTCCTTGGTTTGAGTGTGACTCAAGGCAATGGCCACTGTAACATTGCTTTTCCTTATTTTATATGTGTGTGAGGGAGATAAAGGAGAAGAAAAACAAACATTTACCCAGAGAAGAACAAATAAAATATGAAACATGAGCAAGTGGATAAGCGCTTTGAAAGGTGAAGCATACTGAAAAGCCCCATTAAATGTCAGTGTACCACAGTATCTCCATCGTAGTAGGGTGTGATGTTGGTTTGCAAAGCACTCGCTAAATTAGATATCCTATCTTGCATAGAATTGTATGAACGTGCTTAGGCCGTGTTTATGCTTTGGGGTGATAACTGACTGAGATTGTATTTGTTACTAAAAAATGTGGTATTTGTAGAACTAAGGTTCATAACCTAGTCTACATCTTCTCTGTCTTATTAAGTGCAGTATGAAAAACTCATTTGACCAAAGTTATGATGGGCAACAGAAATCAATATCTATGTGCCCATCAGGTAATGAACCTGGCTTATTGAAGATTAAGAATGTAAGAGGATAATTTGGTAAATGAAATGAAAGAACAGAAAATAAATGTGCTGTGTGCCTCGAAAGTCAAGAGAAACACAATAAATCATGAAGATGCCACAATTCTATCTTGGGGACTTTAGCAGCCTTTTAATTTTGCCTTTTCTACTTTTTGTTGCTCATCCATAAATTGCCTAATCTTGTGCATCATGCCACACAATGTTATCTTGATTAAAATGGACTATTTGGCATCAGTATTTCATCACCAAGGTGTATCAGTGTGGATTAACTGCTAGCGGGTTTGTGCATGTCATTGGTGGTGTGCACTATATTAAATAGGTTCAGAAAGATGATGAATGGGATAATAAGCTAACAAAATTCTCATGAGGGAATGTTAGCATAATATTCTGGGTGAGTATTTGTAAAATTACAACAGTTCATTTAGTGATCATTTGAGGTTTACAACAGCACTGAAAAAAGTGACTTATGACCATTTTTTACACAACCATTGCAGCATCCCCATGGTCACATGATCAAAATTCAGACGCTTGGCAGTTGACTCATGTTTACGATGGTTGCAGGATCCCTGGATCATGTGATCACCTTTTGCAATCTTCTGACCAACAAAATCAGATTCACTTAACCAACTGTGTTACTAACTTAACCACTGAAGTGATTCACATAACAACTGTGGCAAGAAAGATCACAAAATGGGGCAAAATTCACTTAACAATGTTTCGCTTAGCAACAGAAATGCTGTACTCACTTCTGGTCATAAGTCAAAGACAGTCTGTATTTGCTCTCTTTGAGCATTGTGGAATTCAAATGTTTATTGTGATATCTGTGTTTGTGGAATCCTTGGTGCTCTCAGAGCTTGATCGGGGTTTTTTTTGCAGATGTTTTATTATCCAACTAGGTAACATCTTCAGCTCTGGAAGGTGGTTAGAGTTTGCTCTTCGTTTATATACAGATGGCTTGCCCTGTCAGTGTTCTTAGTGGTTCCTTGATTAGGTTATTTATTTACTATTAGCTTGTGTGTCTAGTATACCCTGTTTCTCCAACAATACGGCCTCCCCCAATAGGAAGTCCCAGCATGTTTTATAGGCATGAAATGAAATTAAGCCCCTCCCCCCAAATTAAGGCCTATATTAAAACATGCGAAATGGGGGGAATGGTGGGGGGGGCCTTGCCGTTAGGAAGTACTTTTGTTGCACACCCAGATATGGTGCTGCCTGCATTGACCCCGATACAAAGTACCCCACCAACGCCGAGGTCAACATCCAAGCCGTCGCCGCCCACCCGCCCGAAGATGCAAGGTGGGGGGGGAATTAAGTCACCCCCGAAAAGACAACCTAGCCATTTTGGGGGGGCTCAAAAAAAAATAAGACCCGGCCTTATTATATGAGAAACACGGTAGTATTAATCTTGGAGTTAATCTCGTCTTATCTGGGTATTGATTGCTGGTCAGGAGGTGTTTTAGTTTTTTTTTGATTGTCTCTATTAAATGTCTGTGTTCTGAGGTCTTGGTATCTTAATTGGTTTTTACTGTGATCTGACCAAATGTTTCCAAATTAATCAGGAATTATGTGCTCCTTTAACATTTAATAATATTTATTATGACTTTGAGTTATTCTTAAGTCTGGCAACAGCATGGGTAATTTCCTGTAGACTTTCAGAAGTAGTTTATTCCTTCCTAGAGCTGAGAGGAAGTGACTGGCCCAAGGTCTCCCATCTGGTTTTATACCTAAGGTGGGACTAGAATTTATGGTCTTCCAGTTTCTAACATGATGCATTTATTACTAAACCAAACTAAAACCAAAAGTGGGGTGGGGGAGGCAGAGGTCAGACTAAACATACCATAAAAATTGGAACTGCAGAATAAAAAGTTCTTGTTAGCTAAATCGTGGAAATGTTTCAGAAAAGATTGCAAAACTAATAATGTCTTAGTGACCAAGGCAAATGAGATACACTCTGAATAGTTTCTCTACTTGCTTCACTGTATACAAAAGTAGGTCATATTCTTCTCCCTGGAGCAAGTAGTTAGCAAAACATTCTGCTCTATCCCTGGCTTCTTCCTACTGGGATGGAGGGAAAGGAAACAATATTCTTTTGTTGTGGTGCTCTGCTTCTGCCTGCTATTCTTCAAAGGATAGACTATACCTGTGTCAATTCTGCTTCACAATCAGGATGAATGATGGAGAGAAGTATGACCTAGTGAATATTGCTTTTCATTTCATTTCCTCTTCTTTCAAGCCTTCCGCACCCTTTGCTGTCTATACCTCCTTCATGTCCCACCATACCTAGCCTGCAATTCCAAGTGTATTAAGATTTGTTTTACTGTAGCCTACTAACAAATGCTATGTTCAGTTGTTATACACAACCCAGAGTCGTGTTTTGTGAGTTGGGTGGCTATACCAATTTGACAAAGAAATAAGTAAGTCAGAAGAAATACTCCCTCAGAACATTCATGATAGCAATAGCAATAGCACTTAGACTTACTTACCACTTTATA